CTCTGTGTCTCCTCTGACTCGGTTGGTTTAGAACTAAGACGAAAGCCTTTTTCTTTGCCTTGTTTTGCACGAGTATCCGTAGCTTTTTCACTCCTGTTGTCTCTTTCCCTTCCCATGTTTTTTGTCATTGCCTAGACGAAAATCATAAAAGCAATTGTTAAATTCATGCTTTCGATTTATCATTTTAATGTTTAAATTAATATATTGACATACTTACTCTATTCTTGCAAGGTTTATCGCGAGTACCACACCGGCATTTATCCGAACATTCGACATTTCGCCCTTTGCAACGACAACCTCGAGTTCCATTCTCTTTCCTTTTTACACTGCAAGAACTTTTACAATCACAGTGGCTTTCCTATGCAAATGTGGGAATGATCAATTCAACATTTTCATCTATGTATTGTATGCAAATAAATGCAAATTTTTACTCACCATTTTGATTTTTCACACAAGCTTCGCTCCTTTGATCGTGAAAGGTACTTGCGCCGAATGGTTCCGGCCATTTCCGAACTGTTTTGTTTATGCGCAGCAAAGATGCGCAAACGGTGACACTGCTCCTTTAAAGAGTTGTCAGGCTCAGTAAACCTTCCTCATAGGAACAACAAAAAATGCTAAGACTAACACACAATAGTTTCATGCAAGAATAGACGAAAGAAACACATTCTAAGAGACATAACCGGAATATCTTGAAAACTTGAACATATAGTCTTCGTTGAACATTATACAGAGCATCTGCATTCACGAATAATGATTATTAAATGGACTGTTCGAGATATATAATGTTTACGTGATTTTCAGGAAATTACAACGAGAACTGATGTTCTGTCTTCCAGTTTGACCAAAACAAGACATTCTGGTTTTAGTACATGTAACTATATTCCCATACAAATTCTAATACAAAAAATCGTGGGTTCGTATTTGATATACACTGCCAGTTGAATTTCTGCGTATTATTAATTTCTACTGTTTATTACTTGCGAGGGACAAAGTAATGTCGCCCGAGGCGGCTGAATGTTTGCTTTTCCGATTAAACAATCGTCAGATTCTCTTGGCACACAACAGTGAAAGCAGGCCAAATTCTTGAGAGATACTTCGCTCTTTAAGATTTTATCCTGTGAGGTATGGCGGGAATGTTTAATTTTTTTATTATTGTGTGTAAATTAAATATAAATTAAATTTATCACGTTTCCATTTTCTTTGCTAAATGGAGCAAATTCTGCATTTCGATCATGCTTTTCCAGGTAAGTGCCGTACGAAAATGTTTGAACGCTACTCAATTATATATATTTTATAGCTGCGTTAACCAATGTAGATTAATTTAATAACATAATTATCAAATATTAAGTAACTTTTAACTGATTTTGAACATGTCACCGCATGACTGGAGAAGAAAGTGTCTTAATGATCGTCGGCGTCAATATCAAGGATGTTGTTTACACACTTTCGTATAACAAACATGTGAAACGGATGTTGAACTTACCTCGAAGTCCTAGTCACGGCACTGATTTACGTCTTATCTGTTCTGGTTTTGGAAACTTGCCAAGGCTTTCTTGAACGAACATTCGATATTGTGTTTAATCATGTTTGCAGCTTAATTGTGGAAACAGGAAATGTATTTGCGCACGCGCACCGTTGGGTATTACATGCTTGATGACTTATGGCTTTCTAAATGTTGGGGAAGAAGATGAATTCTTGAAAATATTGTCTGTGATTTCAGCTGTATACATGGCATTGTGTAAAACATGTGAGACAATAAAAAGATTAGTTACGTACAAGTATACAATTTATGTGCGTCTGTTTTTAGCTCATGCATTTTGTACTATAGACTCTTAAGTAAATCATTGCACGTGGTATGACGTGTTTAATAGCGTCATCGTTACGTATGTTAATATAATCACATCATTAACTTATTCAATCTTAAGCAGGCTCCTTGCAGTAGCATGCAAGATGCTCGCGGGCCCAGCCCGTGGACTTTCCCATGCAACCGCTCGATTAAAATAAAACAGTGTACAAAAATTCACCGGGCATGTTAAGAAAAATTAATATCTGAAAGGTTTATAATTAAAAGAGCGTTCAATAATATTTCGTTTTGAGTGCCAAATAAATTGCGAGCCCATACAGCAATTTTACATATGATAGGAATACACCAAATTATTTTAACTAAGCCTCCCCCCTCCCTCCCCAACTGTGACTAAAACTATTTACTCTTTTTCGCCGAAACCATTTTAAAACAGACCTTGTTGTCTCTTATATAATCGATGTCATATCTCTAGTTTAGTACAAGTTACACAGACGAAAATACATTCATTTGATGCGACAGTACATATAACAATCCATTGAAAAGAACCCTTTATTTTGTGATTTACTATGCAGTGGAAACGATTCATCCTGTAGTTATTTTGATTGTATAATAAAGTCTATACCGGAAGTTGATCACACAAACATGAAATGTATCGACGTCTTTGTTGCCATATAACTTCGGTTGCTTATAATCCATCGCAAAGTTGATGGGATCATCCGAATCGACGTAATAAGCTCTTTTTACGCACCAAGTTTAATGCGGTTACGAAAAAATATACAACTTTTATTAACAATTTTGTAAATTTCATCGCGGTCTGTGCTGTCTGAAAACTAAAATCTCCGATTGTTTGTTATCCTACGGCAGCGTAATTGATACAGTATATATGTAAGGCTTGAGTTTGATGAAATTCATGCTGACGTTTATCTGCTGGACCACGCGTGTGAGTCACGTGAAGTCTGTTTCGTTCAAAGGCGTAATTCGTGAGGCTTGCAATCGACGATAGCGTAATTCGTGGCCTTCAATCGACGCATTTTACGTTACAAGGAGGTAAATATTTGTGGAGATAAACCGAATCCGAAATCAGAAGATAGCATTTCGACATTTGATCGAATGACAGGAAACAGTTTTAGTAAAATTCCAGTGCGAACATTACTCTACAGTCATTTCTAACCTCACTAAACGGGAGTGGCTCTTCGAACCTATTTCAATTAGCTAAACTTTGTCTATCGCAGAATGAGATCATATCCCTATCAATATATTAGCTAATAACTGGTGAAATAGCCAGTATAACTTTCCAGTTATTACTTCACGCCGTGCGAATCGTTCGAGAAATCAACCTGACCAGAACTCTATTTGTACATATAGAAGTAACTTCATACATAAATATTAAATCAAAGGCACTGACTAAACCTCCAATGATAAGAACGTATGACAATGTCCCAAGAATTATTCTCTCCAATGTGAGGTTTCTTGTGCTTAAAATTGACGAAATTCGACTGTTTGACGTCACAGATAAACCTAGATTTAATATTTTTAACGGAGACGTGGATGAGGAACACAATTGGGGATAATCAAATTGTGATATACAATTACAACATACTAAGACGAGAGCGCATTGGGAACTCACATGGAGATGTTTGCATCTATATGACCAATAACATCAAATCTAACCGTTCAACTGATTTGGAAGATGACAAATTTGAAATTTTATGGGTTCATACCAGGCATAGTCGCCTCTCCCGTAGTTTCCACTGTCTGGTCGTTGCAACGGTTTGTCATCCTCCAAGTTCAAACAACAAAGATATGTTACAGTACTTAACAAGATCAGTTAGTGAATAGTAAAGTGGAAGGGAGGTTTCCAGGGTATGGAATCATAATTGCCGGCGATTTTAACAATTTGAATATGAAGTACTTCTGTCGCCAGTTTAGATTTAGGCAGCCGATAAACGCTCCAACCCGCGGGGCAGCCACCCTCGATTTTGTAGTAACTAATTTGCACAAATTTTACCAAATAAGTTCTATTGAGATCCACCCACCTTTTGGGTTGTCTGATAATAATACCATTGTTATCCACCCACAGTAAAGATCACATTACCAAACTGACCGTTTTATTTATAAAAGGGATATGAAAACTTCTCGAAAGATGGAACGTGGCAGATACCTAAACAATGTTACGTTAACTGGGGTATTCTAGACTTGCATGACACATGTGAAGGGAAAAATAAAATTTTTATTGCTGTCGTATCTACAGGATTGAACCTTCTCATGCCAGAAAAAAGACCAAATTTCATTATAAAGACCCTCAGTGGATTACTGAGGATTTCTAGTGCATGATAAAAACTGCAACAAGCTTTCTCAACTGGCAATATATTACAGCTTTTAAATTCTATCGTAATAAAGTGAACAAAATGTCACATCAACTACTACGAAAAAGATGTCGTATCAACTAGGAAAAGATGTCGTATCAGCTACTGCGCTTGTAAGGTTAGTCATCTTAAACAAACTAAACCCCAAGAATGGTGGGAAAAAATCAAAGGCGTATGTGGGACGACCTCACACTGCGGTCTCGACAGCTTGGTTTCAAATTTCCAAATTGACAATCTTGACCAAATGTCTGCATCTGATATCGAAAATACAATTAACGACAGATTCCTTGATCAAACAAAGGAGTATAGTCCCCTTAATGATCTTGACCTGCAGATGTTAATAGATACTTCGGAAGATGTCTCACGTGTTGGTATGAATATGACCTCGCCTGAATCTGTACAGAGCAAGTTAAAACAATTAAACTCTGGCAAGGCCCCAAGGTTTGAAGGAATATGCAGATAAATTAATGTCTCATATAACGAACACAAATTACCATATAATTATTGGTTTGGAAACGAGCGAATATTACCCCCATCCCTGAAGAGAAACCGGTTCCTGATATCAATAAACATTTCAGACCTATATCACTAACCTCTCCTCTATCCAAAATTGTCGAAGACGTCGTTGTCGAAAATTATTTTGCTCCTGCTATCTTGAGTTTCATTGACTCATAGCAATTTGGAGGAATACCTCGGTCGTCGGCCATATTAGCACTTATTAATATGGTTCATGAATGGAGTAAAGCTACGGACGGTACCCAGGATGCTGTTTGCGTGGTTTTACTTGACTATTAGAAGACATTTGATCATATCGATCGTCGAATCCTTGCACACAAAGCGTTTCAATTTTATCTCCCACTCTCAGTAAAGAAATGGGTTGTTTATTTTCTGATAGACAGAGAACAATGGGTAAAGCTAACACGTTATTGTTTTTCAGAGTGGCATGGGGTTCCATCAGGAGTTCCACAAGGAACCAAACTCCGCCCTTGGCTGTTTATCCTGATGATTAACAATCGCAGACCATGTGCTCCAGATTACTGGAAATATATTGATGTTACAATTGATGATGCGATTGATGATACAGATCCTTCGTTGTCTTACCAGAGGACTCTTCAATATTCTTCAGCAAAATCAGCATAAATGATTTATATATTCGTAGCCATTTTCTTCGAGTGCCGATTAGATCAATATATACGAATGGCAGCACTGGTATATGCACTCAGTAACGTAGCCAGCCCGACCATTTAGTTCAGCTATGCAAATATTTTCATGTTCATTGACTGTGAAAACAATCAATTTGTAAAGAAATGAATAATTATAATAATTATGACTATATTGCGGGACTGAATTGTCACTAAATTGCGGGACGAAATAAGCGGGGCTAAATTATGACTAAATTGCTGGCTAAATTATGACTAATTTGCGGGACTAAATAAGCAGGACTAAATTGCCGAGCTGGCTACACGCCTACGCCACTGTATGTACTGCGTGTATATGTGTATTATTGCAAATAAATAGCGAATTCTCAAAACTGCATGAGGAAGAATTGATAACGATAGATAATTATATGGCAGAGTCATGTGGCATTGTGACTGCGTATAGCATTTAGATTTTAGACTTTCGAAAAGGCAAGGGGTACGTACGCGATTTGGGTAATGAGGTTGGTAACCCTTTGAATGCCGTATAGCGGTAAGACTACAACCTTTCTCTATATGTCATTTTAATTAGCTACTTCACTTATAAATGTTGTGCTCCGTGGTTATATTAATACCTTAAAAAATAAGCAGAAACTCGACGTTTCGAGCGAAGGCCCTTCGTCAACTAACTCTATTAACTCTTGACGAAGGGCCTTCGCTCGAAACGTCGAGTTTCTGCTTATTTTGTAAGGTAGTAATATAACCAGTCAGCACAGTATTGTTACTACCTACACTGGTACAGACATTTTTAGTACTTAACTTAGGTTTTACCCAAGTGCAAAATGATCTTTTAAATAAAGTATTACATACAGTACTTATCATAATGTCCCAAATTTTTCTCATTACTTTGCGATATCGTTTCTTGTGTGTTTAAAATTGTCAAAACGTCTCAAAAGGTTTGATAAGAAAGGAAAAATACCACGATAAACTATTGTCTAATATGAACTTTCCTCATCGTAAAATATCGGGCGTGCACGTGATGCCATTGAGGACCCGTGATTGGTCAATGGCTTGTGAGCGTATAGTAAATATTTATATATTTTACTCCTTATTATATTTTACTCTAGTTGGGTGTCCCAATGGTTGTCGTCTATTTGCATGTCAAGTTAATTATCTACCTGCATGTGTATCATTTTGATAAAAGAAATTAACGAATAATTTGAATTTTGTACTCATAGTTATCTTTTTCTTCAGAACGTACAGTACTAGTCCCCGAGCCACAGAGTATACAGAGGCGGAACTCGCGGCGATTCCTTTGTTCTTTGTGTCCCCGTGCAACGTCATTTCCACGCGCCACGCAAATTGCTCTGGCAAGTGTCATTCGTCGTGTTTTCAGTCAAAAGCATAGGAAAAACACCGTTCGAAAGTAGAAAAATAAATATTTTTGCGAAGTTGCTCAACCGATCTTCACTTTGGAACTCAAATTTGAAAGATAAATGGTAAGTGGTTATTTTTATGTTTAAATATATACGTTTATAGGCTAAATACAAAGAAAAAATAGTATAATACAAATTACAATCTCGGTGCTTGTGATGTTCTTGCCAAGAAGCAGATTCCCATTTCGCTAAATTAATGCGGGCCAAACGTATTGCTTTCCTGTCTTTTACATTAATAAGAAAGCATAGGTGCTGATTTGAAACACGTCCATCAGGTTCCATGCATGTAGCTTTGCGATTTGTGAGCAAAAATTAAAAGTTAAACTACCTATGTTTTTAATACTTTCTGTGCAACTAATAACCACATTCACAAATATATTCTCCAGCAAAGAAACGTTTCTTTACGGATTGTTAATCCGCATTTGAAGGCATGCTTATGCCTTCAAAGGTCAGAGGTCTTCACATGCAGAATAGCAGAGACTAGTGTCATTGACATCCTTTGTCACAAAATTATGATGGCATATTGGACAGCTATGTTGGATAAGGCACTTCCTTAATAAATAGCTTGACACATAAGTTCATGCAGACTAAGTTTTGTTCAATTTCATTTGTTTTGTAGTCGGTATCTTCAACTGCTTGGATTAGTGGTGGGCTTGTCTGATCATTTCCTGCAGATAAATCAGATTGGCTAGGGTGAAATGCAATCAAATAGGCATCAGAATCTTCAGCACAGCTGCCAATTGAAAGTGGTGTCAAAATATTATCTACAAATAATATGCAAAATGCTCTGGTGAACTGGATGGGACTAATTGGTTGTCCCAATCCCCCCCTGCTGCCTAATGAGGCCAAAGAAGTTCTCCAGAGGCATCTTGTCATGAGAAACTCCAAGGAATGATGTTGGTTAAGGTCTTGAAATGTAAATACTACAGTGTAATAACTACTGACAGTGTAAATACTACAACAGTGAAATGTAAATACAACAGTGTAATTGGGGTTTAAAAATACAAAGTTTATTTTAATAAATGTTGTTTATTTTATGTCACATTTATATACATTTAAGAACTTAAATTATTCAAAAACTAAATAAATTAAATATGTGTTCAATGTCAATGAATATTGCTATATTCTAAATTTTTTATTCCAAAATTGGCAATAACTGTTTCCTTTATAGTTGACCCCACATGTTGTCATGAAAATTAATACTAAATAAAAAAAGTAGCCAATGATCCATGTTTCCTCTTACAGTCTTTGCTTTATATGAAAAATTAAATACTACAGAATAATTGCATTGTTCCTTTTATTGATAAAAGAGAAAGTATTCCCAATTAATACTTTGCATGTTAAAGTGTGCTCACCCCTTGACGAGTAAAATCATCTGGCGTTAGACAGAGTAAAATAATAAAGTAGGGTGCATCAGGGCACATGCAGTGCAACTCAATGGGTTAACTGGATCGTCCGGTGTTAGACAGAATAATAAAGTTGGGTTAACAAGTAAAATTGTCTAGCTTTACAGTACATGAATGCATCTTCCAAGGGGGGCTGATTTTGGGGAGCAGGCCTACCACTTTGGGGGGGACGGGGGCTGCTTTTTTGAACCTCAATTAAACTATTACAGTAATCCGACGGCCTGTCTATATGGTCTCCGGGTACTAGGGAAATCCTACCCCCCCTGACGAGCCACCCTGGCAAGGCAAAACTATATTCATATCCTATTATAGCAACTGCCATGCAAGTGTTTGCATGGAAAGTTTTGAACTTGTCTTGCCTAGTGGGATGATCCAGGTAGTAAGGTCACTCCGTCAGGGGGTACAGCATCTCTATTACTCAAGATTAATTATATAAACATTGCCCTAGGTTATGTAAAATTGGTAGGCTTTCCAATATAAGATCAAATAGTCTCAGGTTTTTCCCAATCAGGTGAACAAATTAACATAGTTGTAAGATCTGCATCTGATTCATTGTAATGAACAATGTAGTTCAACAGGAATGGTTGGCAATCTAGAAAAGCAAAATAAAAAATAAACAGATTAGATTATTAAACACGTACAGACTTGGGATGTTTGAGAAATTATTGACCTTTGAGAGCCAAAAAAAGGTTGTCATTACACAATAACCAATGCACTAATCTAGGGGAATTACTATAAAGTATAATTTGACCAATCCCTCACCATTGGGTCAACATATAAGTTAAATAAAGTCTATATGAGAACTTTAGAGTACTGTGGCTCCATGTCATGAGAAACTCCAAGGAATGATGTTGGTTAAGGTCTTGAAATGTAAATACTACAGTGTAATAGCTACTGACAGTGTAAATACTACAACAGTGAAATGTAAATACAACAGTGTAATTGGGGTTTAAAAATACAAAGTTTATTTTAATAATGGATTAACATTCCTTCCGGTGTCCCTCAAGGAACCAAATTGGGACCTTGGTTATTCATCCTAATGATAAATGACCTACGCCCCCCACATCATGAGCGATGGAAATACATCGATGATGCTACGGTATTTGAAATCATTTACATCAACACACCCAGTAAAATTCAAGATACAGTCGATTGTGTTCAAAATTGGTCTGTAGAAAACAAGATGCAATTAAATGCCTCCAAGTGCAAGGAACTTGTTATCAGTTTTACAAAACCTGAGAAAGAATTTCCGCGCCTTAAGATCATCTCAGGCCAAATCGAGACAGTGGACCACGCAAGAATCCTAGGTTTGACAATTTCTAAAGATCTAAACTGGAACCAACACATAACTAACATAGTTAAGAAGGCGAACAAACGGATTTATTTTATTATTCAGTTGAAACGTGCTCATGTACCTGAAGCTGACATAATACATTTTTACACTACCTGCGTCAGACCAGTCATGGAATTCAGCTGTCAAGTTTTCCACTTCGCCCTTCCTTCCTACTTATCTAATGCCCTGGAACGGGTTCAAAAGCGTGTTTTATCAATCATCTATCCACTGACAGGTTATGCGGATTGTTTACAAAAATCGGGCATCAAACCATTAAGTGACTAGCGTGTGGATGCATGCGAGAAACTGTTTAATGAAATCACCACAACACCAGTAGCTAATATGCATAATCATGTACCATCTAGATACTTTCCAAATTACGACCTTAGACACTCAAGGTCTTTTGTTGTTCCTCAGACCAAAACGAACAGATTTAGAAACAGTTTTTTCCCTTCATCTGCAAGGCATATCAATAATATTAACTGACAATCGATTCTGATATTCAGTTTTAGACTGGCTAACATTTTTTTTAGAAATTTACTAGTTTCATAGCTAATTTGTAATGTAACTTTAAACTTCTGTAATATAGAATTATAAATTGTAATGTAATTTTAAACTTCTGTAAATATAGAATAACTAATTTTAATCATTTCTCTTGTAAAATTTAGCACGCAATTCAGCCTTATTGGCTGCTATGTGTTAATCTTATTAAACAAACAATCTATCTATCTATCTATCTATCTATCCTTCAGTCCATGTTGAATGTTGATGTTCATATTTTTCGTATCTGAAATATGCTGTTTATGCAATGTATAATTAAATTAACGACAACCGTTTCATACAACATTGCACTTCACAAAAATATATTGATAATTTCATATATATGAGCTAGAGAAAAAAACAACTCACATATAAAGTTGCTAAGTTCCAGCTGGAGTTCAGGTCTACAGAATCGAATCTTCAGATTGCCAGAAATTCTCACTCCTTCGGGTGTCTTTTCTCATTTTCGCCGTTAAAAATGGTATTCGTTCAATTCCCTTTCGCTAAGAAGACGCAGTGTGCCATTTATTTGCAAAATTCGTGCAGAAAATGAAGATGGATCGGTCACTGCGCTTAAAATCGCCGTTTTACTGCCAAAATTTTGCATTTCCCTATCTTTTTCCTGATAAAAAATGTGCATGACACTTGCCAGAGGGTCGCGCATGCGCATTAAAAAAGTGGGGACATGATTTGCCTCGAGTTCCGCCTCTGTATATCCTTATTCTGCGCCCGAGCCGACGGCGCGAAGCGCTGTGCGAGGGTACTAATTCCCCCCGGCTATTTACACCCGGGGAAACGAAAGCATTAGCGAAGTCTAAAGTTCATCAATGATCGTGGGCGCTCACCAACGGTGTTGAGTGGGTGGTCATCACTGATCGCAAAATATGGCTGTTTGCCAGTAGTGAAGAAGGCAAAAATATAAAAAATACATGTTAGAAAGCTTGGAAAATCGTTTCGCATAAGAAATTGTACAACTTTTTTCCGATTTTTAAACGTAAACATTGATAAGAATTGATAGTGTATGATAAATCCTAAAGTATAGGGCAAGTTTGTTTCAATTGTTTTTGTATGACTTTGTATTTAATAATACAGACTTTGTTCTTGATGTTCAAGTCTTTCCTATGCATTGTTTGCGAAAGTTTCTTAATTAAATTTACTTTTGTAGAATTTCATGATAAAAAGGAAAGCAAATTATTTTCACTAGCGTCCTGTACGAATTAAATTTGTTTAATTTCAAAGTGCGAGTAATAAGTTGAAGCTCGAGTTGAGAAGTTTATAAATATCGGCAAAAAGCAACTAATTTCAATTCACATTTAAAAAACGTTTTACGTAGGGTTTCGTTTTGAATTTTACATTAAAATAAGGCCAATAGAAACGAAAATATTATACCTACATTATATTTTAGAAATTGATAGCTCTGTATTTAAAAGTGTTAAAAATTCATTTATATTCTCCCGGTTTGTACAAACAAGTACGATCGTACTATAATGGACCAGGAACTGCGTGACTCAGTTTCGATCTTGTGCAAATCGTAATTAAATGTTCAAAACCTTCGAGACTCAGCTTTGACTTGATAAACAAATAACTATACACACTTCTAAAACTACTAATTATTCTCAAGGCAGCGTTGACTGAGTTCGCTAAATGTTTTGCTTTAATTTGGTCATGCATCCAAGATATACTTTTCCGGGCAAAAATATGTGTTTGATCTAGTCATGCCGTGTGTAAATGAGTGTAAATCTGGACAAAGCATAGATAACTAAATGCGCAGATTTCAAAAGTATATACTCGCATTCGAATTAGATAGATTAAGACTAAACATACCGTGCCCAAATTTAACTTTTGTCGTAACAAATTGTGCCGTGCGTGCCATTGCAAAATATTGTAGCTGCAGTCGTGTACGTGCCATGTAAACGGGACTTAAGTTAAGGTAACAATTTATCTGAATTGTTGCTATAGGTTAATGCAGATCATTTCGCTTGGTAATGCTTCATAAGTGCATGCTTGTGCTAAAAACATGTCATGTCTTTGTTTTTATGGATAGGAGTACTGTGTAGTACTCCTCTGCGCTTTCAGAAACTAAGCCAGCGTGTCAAATTAGTCAACTTAAGTCTTAACGCTTATAATTAATCGTTACAATTAGTCGTCCACATTCTTGAGAAGCTTTAGACTATTGTGATTGTGTTCACAACGAACAATAGAAAAGACAATGTCTTTCTTATCATTTGCGTTTGCTGATATATATGCTGAATATTAATGACATGTATATATTAATTGCTACGAATACAGTAAAAAATTGCTCATATTTCGCTTCTAAAGTCAAAAATGAAAAATCGAACACCGTCAATCGATGCGGAATATTGCTTAGAATAATTTTGTCAAGTTTCATTCCGATCGGACAAGTAACGACGGAGTCTTAGGGTTTTTTCAAAGAGCGTCGCCCCCTAACAACAACAAGAAGAAGATTAGCAGCGATTGGGGACCAGTTCCTGGTCCAAAAATCTCTTACAGATCGTCTCTCTCCGTATGAATAATGACACCACACCGACGCGGTCCATTGCAATATCATAACAACAATCTGGGAAGATTATTCGTAGAGCTCTGCGTTGGATCCTTTCGATCTGATCATTTAAATACTGGGGCAAACTGTGATGCCATACTTCGCAAGAGTATTCTAAAATTGGTCTAATGCATATATTAAACACTCGCACTAACTTGCTTGATGGAATGGAAGATCTCTTTAATAATCGTAGAGCATGCAGACGCTTCGCAGCTTTCTTACAAATGAAATCAACATGAAGAACCCACTTGAGGTCTTCGGAGATGATTAATCCGAGTAATTTAGCATGTGACACGACAGAAATGTTAC